TGTGTGTGTGTGTGTGTGTGTGTGTGTGTGTGTGTGTGTGTGTGTGTGTGTGTGTGTGTGTGTGTGTGTGTGTGTGTGTGTGTGTGTGTGTGTGTGTGTGTGTGTGTGTGTGTACGATAATCAATACTCTTCATTATTTTTCATAGATTATTTACCTTCTGCGCGTCCCTGGGATTTTGTATAACACCCGTGAAGACAACGTTATCCTGTGCGACGGACGAGCCGTAATAATTCGATTGCAGTTGCAAAATATTAGTCACATTGGCAGCAGGTACTTGCGGTCGTCCGATCATTGTCGACGTTTCCTGCGCAGCTGCAACTGTACTCGTGACTGTTCTATTTTTACTGTTGTTTCTTTCTTCCGAATTGTAAGTACCATATTCTGTGACTTTTTTAGCTTCCTCTACGATTGATGAACTGGACGGTAGAGCTTCATTCGATTTTTGTTCCGGCTCCTGTTTCTCGCAGGCGACTTGATCGCTCGCAGTAGTTTCGGAAGTCTGCATTACATCGAGATGCTCTTGAACGGCGGATTCCTCCTTTGTCTCTGTCATGTCGCTTCCGTCTATCTCGATGTCCATCGTTGAATTTAAAAAACTGTCCGAAGATATCGACGGTGTCCCTTGCCGATGTTCCTCGATGTCGTCGAAAGTTTTAGTATCTTCCGGAATTTTTTCATCGATTTCCGAATTTTTCAATTTTGAATTCGGAAGCGAAGAATTCCCTCCATCCCATTCCGCCGTGCTATTTCTTGGATCTTCGAACTCGGACGACGAGACTGAGGATATAACCGGCGTGGTTACGTCACCACTTATTATCGTTTGGTCCGTATCATCCATCTTGACTTCTTTCTCGATCGGCGAATTCGGCGAGCTGTCATCCTTATGCCAACTCTTGGCGATGGCCAGATTTTGCTTCAGAGATTCAAGCGCAGTCGGTTGGATCGCGATGTAAACTCTGGGTAGCACCGGCGGACTGTTTCTCACTTCATCAGGAGATTTACCTTTCTCGTAGTCAATAGGAGAACGAGGTGACAATTTCGGCGGTTCCGGAGAAGGGGATGAGGAAACGCTACTTCTGGATATTCCGTTTACCTTTTCAACATAAATATCAATTAATCAATAAGTTTGAATGAGACAATCAGCGAAATAAATTTTTATCTTTCGCACGATTTGCAATTCTTTTTTTTTTTTTTGTTAACGAGAATATAAGCTTATTCTGTTAAGAAAAATTTTATTTTATTTTCTAATATCATTTCTCTTACCTGCGCGTCGTCGCTGTCGATAGCATTTTTCTCAGCTGATGTATGCTCATTTAATTCGTTCTCATAATCGAGATCGACGACATCATCGGTCGTCGGCGGTATGGAGGCGGATAGTTTGCATAGCAACTTTGAGATGTTTTCAATTTGTTTCTCATAGCAGTTCATCATCTGCCGCAATCGGGTGCTGCGCTGCGGGCTGGTATCAGCGTTATTGCACGCTGTCATTTCCCGCGACAGCTCGAGCGCTTTGCCGCGTAATTCCTTCAGCTTCTGGCGCAATCGATTGCGACGATATTTGATTTTATAGCCGTCGCTTTTCGGCGACGCTCGTCGGCTTTTGTCCTTTGCATTGCCCGTTGGTGATTCGAGTTCCTTCTCCGAGGTCACGCTGCTCCAGAAGGAGATAGCGGAGTATCTAGATGGAGAATCTGGACGTGGCGTGGCACCGGTGACGATGCGATAATTGGATTCGTTCCCTGATTTGGCATTTACCTCAACATTGCGATATTCGTCGGTGGCGCTTGCTGAAAATAAAAACGAGAACAAATATGTTTATTGATGTTTATTTAATTGTAAGGAAAAATTGATTAATTTTCTCTTGAGGGAATTTATCGATAAATATAAATTTATTAATTAAACGTTAAATGTATATAAAAAAACGCTATACCTTCACGCACAATTTTCTTCAGTCTTAAAGGCGGCACGACTTTGTTACAGATCTCCTTTGTCTTTTCTACTTCTGGCTTCGTCGTCGACACTACGACCGGTGACGAATATCTCTTGTCATCCCACAGTCTCACTACTACATGCTGCTGCAATTTTCTCTCCCCTTTGTCAGTCAAATTATCGGAACATGTTCTGGAGTATTCCTTCAAAATATTCTTGACTCGTTCGTCACGAATGTGATTGACATCGAGTTCGTGGGATTTTTTCCGTTTCTTTACATCTTTGATAATTTCTTTCTCGTATTCTTTGTCTTCTCGATCTTCACCATTTTTTCTTTTAACACTGTTGACTTCTTTCGTAATCTATACAGATTATTGATATAGAGATTATCGCTAAATGTCACCAATAACATCATATAATTATTGCGAATTATATTAATTAATTTTAATTTTGATCCGTAAACATATAGTTAAAACTGTGTAACATAAGTTTAAACTGTGTAACAAATTACACAGATGATAAAATAAATACAGTGTGATATTATTTCATGAAACCATTTATCAGTAATGAATGTTCACAATTCACACAATTTTAGTTTGCGTTGCATTGAGTAAAAAATAATCGTAATTCATAGGTAAAATCAAAGGGAAGAGAAACAGTAAAAACTGACCAACCCTCAGGCCCTCCTGTTTGTTACCTGCGCGACATTAGTCATGTCTGGAAGAATGTAGTCCGAGCGATCGATGAGCTCGCTCGTAAGCATCATTCTGTCTCCGTTTCCGTTCTGCTGCCCGAAAGAAAATTCGTTCAGCTCGTTCGTCAATGAGGCGCTTGGAGATACGTCTGACTGTACCTCGACCACGTCCAGGCTCATGGATTTCGACAGCTTGAGAATCGGCGAACGCAATGTCTTCCGTAACGTTACTATCGATGCCGCTGACCTTGTCGGCGTCGGCGGCGCTGGTCGGATTGGCAAGGAACGATTAGGTTGCACGGGGATCACGCAGGGTCCACGATCCCTCAAGGCGGTTGCTAGGCTGCTGCCCGTGCCACCGCGTTGCAATCTATTGGAGGTATCGGCTATCATGATGCGAGGTTCTGGAAGAAAAATTAATTTATTAATAAATATGATTTCAGAGGCGTGTAGTAGCCTGCCCCAAAATTTTCTAGATCTTAAAGAGAAATTTTAAAATTTAACTAAATATTATTCAAGGTCAAGCAGTTCTTATTGCGCATCAATCGTACAATTTTCTAAAACATCGTTTGACAATGTTCTTTCTTAAGAATCATTTCCGATCTTAATTTTAATTTTACTTTCAAAAATCACATATATTTTATTGACATTTATTTATTAACGTGTTTTTCGAGTTTATTCTTGAAAATGAATGTGATCTCGATATTTTTAAAGGTTGTATGATGAAGGTTGCAATGAAAATGTAAATTAATGCAAATGATATTTTAATTTACTTTTAGTAATTTAATTAATTAGCACACATTAAAATTTTTAATTTCTGAGATAAATGCGCTTCTTCTAAGTTATTTTTTATGATATTTTTTCAGATCCCATATTCGGAGAGTGACCATGAGTGAAGAATAAGAAAGCACGAATATCTCTTCGTTTACGTTCCCCACGTGTTAACCAGTTTTAAAAGACGTTGTTAAAAGAAAAAATCGGTTTGGACCGAGTTTAACCAGTTTATATTATATACATATATATGTATATACGATTAGCTTTCGATCTTTATGAAGGTGATTGTTTTTATGTGATTATCTCTGTACGTAGTATATATATATATATATATATATATATATATATATATATATATATATATGCACATGATCGGCAATGCATTATCTGTTCTTAAAAATATGTCCAGGGAGTCAAGAAAGATCGATGATATTAGATACATGGCTCGTTATCACGTTCTCACCCGACATCTCCAGGCTTTCTTCGGTGTCGCTGAATCGCTTCAAGATCGTCTGCTTCCAAGCGATTTGCTTCGATTCCTCGCTAGTCAAATCCACAACAATCGGAATTTCCCTATGCTCCATAGAAGCTACTGTGCTCGACGAAGCGACCGAAGCCGTCTCCACGCCGACGTCGCTCTCGTAATAATAATCCAGGTGTTCCACCAGCTCTTCATCTTGTCCGCTCATCAAATTTCCTTTGGTTTTCCGTATCTTCGCGGCGACGCTATTGCGCTGCTGCAGCTGACATTCCGCGCAATCTTTGCACGTGGAACACACCTCGTCCTCCTCGAGCTCCGTCGAGCTGGAGATCTGCGAACAGGCCGTCCTTTCTTCGTTGCTCGTGTCGCTGCTCTCGCAGAGGAGCTCGACGATGTCGCAAGCGATGACGTTGGGATCGTTCGCATCGATAACGGAACATCCTTCGAAACGGGACAAGCTTCTGCCGGTGTCATCGGACTCGCTGTGCGGTTTCTTGCCATGGGATATCGTGACTCTGGACCAACGGGGTCCAGACGCGATTGTCTGGTTGGATTTATCCTTCGATGGTAGCTTCCTCTTCCGCGGCTTTAGCGCGACCGCCAGGTGTTCGCGCGACCGCATCTTCCTTACGTATCACGATCGAGTGACACCGGATTCGAGGATGTCTTCGAAAGTTCGATAAGTGGCTCGGAACATCTTGTGTTTCAGCTGCATTTCAAAATTATTCAGATGAACGGTGCGTCCCTCTCTCTTCGATTTACGCGTTACGGTAATAATTGCGATTGAAATGGGGGGCGCGGAGACGGGGGAGAGGTGAGGAGAAAAGAAAGGTAATTAAGTATTAAAGAGCTAACGGTATACTTTAGCAGTTTTGGTCGATGAAGTTGAACAAAGTCTCGCGATGCAAATAATACATACGTACGAGGGAGCGAAG